AAGTGTATTGTCCACCTTTGCTCTGAGATTCCCGCAGCATTATTCCATGTTGGGTGTGCTCTCCCTCTTGGTCTTGCCATTTGGTCTCACCCAAGTTGTCGGCTCAGGGCCACAAGATGGGGAGATTCAAAAGTACATGACTTCCCACCCCAGCTATAAGTTCCACCAGTTATAAGCCCTCAAACCCTCCAAATATCCTTAGATATGTGGTCCAGAGTCCCAGAGCTCTGCCCTGAACCCACCTCACCGGGTACTCTGTGGTATTGCCAACAGTGAACTTTACTGCACCTCTACCCTAGCTGCCACCAAGCCCCGCCTCCTGATATAGCTCTTTTGCAGCAGGAAACCTGTGCATTGCTCATACCCACACCACACAGGCAGAAGGTCTGTGTGGATTTATCCAGTGGGCATGGACAGGTGTGGTTCTTTTAACAGAGATTGTGGTATCTCCTTGCCACTGTTATGTGTTGTCTGTGATGCTGGCTGAATCGTTTACATTTTCATTTTCTGGAGGGGAAAGAAGAGCCACTGGGAGGAATATGGCATCACTTCCCAGTGGCTCTCCTAGCCCCTCAGGGTAGAAGTTCATAGTGGGGCACCCAGAGTGGGCCTGGATTGCATAAACAGGGACTCCTTGAAGTGCTCTACTGAGGGGTAGGAGCAGGGCAATGGGATTGGACAGGAAATGCAATGAAATCCCTGGTTACATAATGGGTGAGGCTTTTCCTGGGGTAGACCAGTTTCTTTACTGAGCAAGGTTTTGTCCTCTTTATCTCCAGGAGACTTTTGCCAATGTCCAGAGATATTTTGGGTTGTTACAACTCAGAGTAGGAAGGGGAGATGCTGCTGGTCACTAGTGTTCGATGCTAAGGATCACTGATAAACATCCTACAGTGTTCCTTAACAATAGAGTCAGGTTTAAAGACCCTGGGTTAGAGTCAGGATGTGAGATGTCTTGCCTGACAATACATCTGGAACAAACCTCTCTAAATATGATTGTAGAGAGAACGCAGAGTAGACAATGACCATTTCAGATTAGATAATGTACCAAGCTGGTATTGGAGAGATGGAATCTTTTTAAAAGGTGTGAAGCCAGAGAGTGGGTGAAAAGAACTCAACACTGAGCCCAGAGCAAATTCTTTAGTGCCTCTGAGCTTTGGTTACATCATCTATAAATCTTGAAAGACAATGTCTTCTCCATGGGCATTTAAAAATATGGCACAGAGTATATGTTCATTAATATTATTCACTCATCTTCCACCATTCATCCATCCCTACACCCTTCTTGTTAATTGTTATTGAGTCGGTTTTGACGCATAGCAACCCTATATCGAGTTTCTGAGGAGGGACTGGTGGTTTTGAACTGCTGATCTGTGGTTAACAGCCTAATGTGGTGTTTATCCTACAGTGCCATACAAGGACTTCTACTTGATACCCTTTGTAATTAAGAAGGAGCTATAGACATATTGGAGTTCCTGGGTGGTGCAAATGGCTAACATACTTGTCTGGTAATTGAAATATTGGAGGTTTGAGTCCACCTACAAGTACCTCAGAAGAAAGGCCTGGCAACATACTTCCCCCAAATCGGCCATTGAAAACCCTGTGGAGCACATTTGGCTTTTACAAGGAATCCATACATCAACATCCCCTAGCACACACCTGAACATGTGAGAAACTCATCCAATGTTGGTAAGTTCAATTCCAGCTCTTTCTCTCATCTATGAACTAAGAAATACCTTCTACCATTTTTTTTTTTTTCAGTCATTTTATGCACATGTGTTCTCCTATTGTGCGGTAGGGACATAACCCCATACCACATGCCTAGGACTCATGTCAAGAAAGCCTGATATGCTGCTTTGTACATTGTTGACGACAGACGGGATATAACATGGAAAAAGCCAATTGGACCTCTCCCATGATGGAGTTCATTCTCCAGGGACTCTCTAACCACCCAAAACTAGAGAAAATTTTCTTTGTGCTAGTCCTGCTGATGTACCTGGTGATCCTACTGGGGAATGGAGTCCTCATCCTGGTGACTGTCCTTGACTCCCACCTGCACACACCTATGTACTTCTTCCTAGGGAATCTCTCCTTCCTGGATATCTGTTACACAACCTCCTCCGTTCCTCTGGTTCTGGACAATTTCCTAACACCCCAGGAAACGATCTCCTTCTCTGCTTGTGCAGTGCAGATGTGTCTTTCCTTTTCCATGGCAGGAACAGAGTGCCTGCTTCTAAGCATGATGGCATTTGACCGTTATGTGGCCATCTGCAGCCCCCTTAGGTACCCAGTGATCATGACCAAGGATACCTATGTGCCTATGGCCGTCAGTTCCTGGGCTATTGGTGGTGCTGCTTCTGTGGTACACACATGCTTGACAATTCGGTTGCCCTTCTGTGGGGACAATGTCATCAACCACTTCACCTGTGAGATTTTGGCTGTCCTAAAGTTGGCCTGTGCTGACATTTCCATTAATGTGATCAGCATGGGAGTGACAAATGTGATCTTCCTGGGGGTCCCAGTTCTATTCATCTCTGTCTCCTACATGTTCATCCTTGCCACCATCCTGAGGATCCCCTCAGCAGAGGGAAAGAAGAAGGCCTTCTCTACCTGCTCTGCCCACTTAACTGTGGTGGTCCTCTTCTATGGGACCTTATTTTTCATGTATGGGAAGCCCAAGTCTAAGGACCCACTGGGGGCAGACAAACAGGACCTTTCAGACAAGCTCATCTCCCTCTTCTATGGGGTGGTGACCCCCATGCTCAACCCCATCATCTACAGCTTGAGAAACAAGGATGTGAAGGCTGCTATGAAGAATCTGGTGGCTCAGAAACACGTCACCCAGTGACGCTGAGAGGGGTCCCCTGGGGTTCTCACCTACACAGAAGAAAGAACTTCCAAGTTTTGCAGCTGCTATTAAAAAATCAACTAAAGCTAACTAGAATGATCTCTCATCCTAAAGTGCTTTTTCAAGAATGTTTGCTTAACTATTCAGAGTATGTCTCCTGAGTTTTGGTCATATGTATGATGGCATCAAAAGAGATCAGACTTAGAAGTTAACATTCACATTGAATATAATGAAGACACTTTGAACACGTGATTAACTGTAGAAGACAGCAAACCAAGTGGCTCTTGGTGTGTCAAAACCATAGAGCTAGTATAAGGAAGAAAGATGTTTTTCACAGAAAATTTGCTACCCCAATTGGAGACCTGGTGTGGCACTACAGGATAAGCACTCAACTGCAATGTCGGTTTGAACCTCAAAGTCAACGTTTCAAATCCACCATTTGCTCCTTGAAAATGCTATACTGGGTCTCTATGAGTTGGAACCAGCTAGATGGCACTTAACCACAATAACAACAATTGGATTCATCAGGAGAGTCTGAGGAACAAAGAGGAATGAAAACTTTCATTCTGGGCTTTTGTTTCCTTATATTCAATTTGTCTGAAGTGCTAAGAAGAGACAAATGCAGTTCTTTATCATGAAAACTTTTGAGTGTGAACGATCTATTTTAATAAACAATATCTTTTTGGTTAGGAGGAAATTGAAGCTATTTTTTTTCTTTTTTTGATGCACTGAAAATCATGAAACATTTATAATAAATCATTAAACTTAAGAAGGACTATAGAATTTGAATTTCACATTCATAACAGAAAACTGATGTCCTGTAAGATGGTGGTGGTCATTATATGCTGTAGAGTCACCTCTGACTCATAGCGACCCTGTACAGGGTTTCCAAGGCTGTACATCTTTACAGGAGCCGAAAGAGTCATCTTTCTCCCATGGAACAGCTGGTAGTTTCAAACTGCTGATCTTGAAGTTAGCAGCCTGACTCATAACCACAACACTACCATAGCTCCTTATCCTGTAAGATACAAATTTGTTATTAAAATTTTGTATTTATACAGAGGTGACTATAATGCCGTGAATGGAGTAAAGCTTTCAGGACCTTCTTTCGCTGATGGGGTACTGAGGTCCCTTTTCTCTTCTCACTTCTTCCTTTCTTAGCTCTTGTCAGTTGAAAGGTGATGGAGGGAAACACCTCAGGGAACTCCCCTTGTATCAGATCAGGGCTGTGACCTGAGTAAGGGGGTTGCATCCCACCCTACTCTCCTTACTACTGATTGATTACATGAGCTATCACAGGGAGTGATTAAGACTTTATAAAACTGCCAAATTACCTCATTAGGGGATGACCAAACTTCTGAGAATCATGGCTCCGCCAAGATGATACCTATTTTGGGGGATCATAATTTAATCCATGACGGTTTGTTTGCTTGTTTGTTTTCATGTAGAGCTTTCCATCCCATAGGAGGAAACTTGGTGTTTTTAATCATTCATTTTGCTATAATTTTCAAAGTCAGAGAAAAGAGTTTTAATTTGATAGTCTAGTTCCACTGAAAACGGAGGCAGAAGCTTATTTTTTACAAAGTTTCTCTCCATCAGTGGTCCAGGTTGCTTTTTTTCTTGCTTTAACTTTCAAATAGTTTAACAATCTAGAGTCCAAGGCAGGTAGCTGGGCTGCTTCACAAGGTGATCCAGGGAGTCAGTCCCATCTCATCTCTTTGTTGCACCTTCTCTTAGGGTGTTGTTCTCATTCAAGGCTGGCTCACCATTTCCCCCAGACAAAGAATGGGGGAAAGAGAAAGTGTGGAACATTTTCTTAAGGATTTGACCTGGCAGTTGAAAATATTTCCACTCATATCCTATTGGCCAGAACTTAGTCACGGTCACATTCAGATATGAGAGAGGATGGGAATTACAATGTACATTCTACAAAGATTTATAAACTTGGAAAATCTGTAGGACAGTTCTCTGTCCTCTAGTGTCGCTGTGAGTTGGAACAGACTCAACGGCTGTGGGTTTGATTTGTATTTTTAATGAATGAAAGAGGTCCCTAGGTGGCACAAATGGTTTAGACTTCTATAGTGGCACTGTAGGATCAGCCCCGGACTGGAAACCACAAGGTTGGCAGTTCCAATCAACCAGCTGCTACTTGGAAACTTTAAGCAGGATTGCTATGAGTTGGAGCTGACTCTACAGCATTTAGCAATAACAACAACAACAATAACAACCAACTTAAAAGTTGGTAGTTCAAACTCACTCAGTGGTGCTGCACAAGAAAGGCCTGGTTACATAAAGGTCACAGCCAATAAAACCTTATGGTGGTCAGTTCTATTTTGCAACATACGGGTCACCATGAGTTGGAGTTGACTCAGTGGCAGTAGATTTGGGTTTTAGGTATTAATTAAAGCAGGGGTGGGGAACGTCTGACCAGCAGTCCATATAAGGCCCAAGAAACCATTTGGTCTGGCCCTGCCAAGGCAACCACAGTTCCAGCCATCATATTGCTGTTGTTCAGTACCGTGGCGTCGGTTCCGACTCATAGCGACCCTGCACAGGGTTTCCGAGGCTGTAAATCTTCACGGGAGCAGAAAGCCTCATCTTTCTTCCATGGAACAGCTGGTAGTTTCAAATTGCCGACCTTGAGGTTAGCAGCCCGACTTGTAACTCAGCCATCATGTTAAGGGCGAGTTAATTACATGTTTGACAAAATATAGCAGGCTAATTTTCAAGTTGACAATTTTGTATGACCTGCTAATGATGTTACAAATTTTGGTAGAAAAAGGGTTCCCTACCCTTGAATTGGAGCTCTGGTGTGGTGTTGAGAGCTAATATACTGGACTGCAAAGTCGGTTTGAACTGCAAGATTGGCAGTTCAAGCTTACCAGCTGTTCCTTGGAAACCTTATAAAGGGTCACTATGGGTCAGAACCAACTCAACGGCACTTAACAACAACAACCCCTGAATTAAGTAAGAATTGTGAAATTGATTCTCTGCCACAATTGAGTTTGTTTCATGGATGATTGCTGCTGGATCATGGCCAATCTTGGCTGGTTAGTGAGAGGTGCTGATCACTTTCAGGGGTTGGTGGCTTTCTAGGCCTGGGTTAGGTTTAGGACTAATTAAGACTGAAGAAGGGAAGATTGAATTTTCTGATTAGATAAAAGTTTTGTAAGCTGTATAATTCCTAATAAACTCCTAAGGGAGCACAGTAGCTCCATAAGATAAGCACTGAATTGGGAACCACAAGATCAGCAGTTTGAGCCCACCAGCCACTCCTCAGGAGAAAAATGAGGCTTTCTGTTCCCATAAAAGATTCAGAGCTTCAAGAAATCTATAGACTCACTATGAGTTGAAACCAACTCCAAGGCATTTAACAACAGCCTGGAAGGCAGTGACAGAAACAGAACTTGTACACTAATGTAAATAGCAACACCATTCACAGTAGTCGAAAGGTAGCAATAACTGAAATGTCCCTTGGCAGATGAATGGGCAAACAAATTACAGTATAGACTGTGTCTGGTAAAGGGCAAGCGAAAAGTATGAACATTTTGAGAAGATATTTCTTCGGTTTGTTCAATATTAAAACTAAGTAGAAATTGGTTATACTTACTTATTTTATTTTAAAAAGTACTCAATTCTCTGTCCTGCCTCTCCTTACGCACTGTACTTCTGTGTCAGCAATCATTCCTTTTGAGATCCTCTTTGTTTTCTTTAAAAAAGCTACCCACAAACAGCTCCCACAAACAGCACCTCTGGGCACACACCAAAGAAGTAAATCTCATCTGAAGTAAAATCTAGTAGCTTGCTGATATTTTCATTAGTTAGGAATTTAGCCATAGAAGTTGAAAATAAATGGAAGTCTCTTTTTAATCTTTTTTTGTTTTTAGTAGAGACCAAGATCCTGTTCATTGCAAAGTGTATTCATCATCATGAATGCAAGCGTTTGGTCCAGAAATAATAAATGATTGAGTGTTACCCAGCAGCAGGATGGGGTGGGATTCCTGGCCTCTTTCCTTTTTTCTTAGCAAAAGAAAAAAACAACTGAGCAGAAGTCTAAACAGCTTTTATGTAAAAATATAGATTAAAGAGACTAGGGTTTATTTGTTTTTTAATCTCATATTGTGATAATTCCAAATATGATTGTGAATAACTAAGGGAATGGTATTCAATATAAGTTATCTGACCAAGATGAGGGGACTATGAAAAGACTCAAACGATAAGTCGACTTTACTTTAGTAACTTTTTAATCTTAATGAATTCTGAAGTCACATGTTTTCCTTGTAAATGTAAGTATTTGTTTTTGCTACAACTACACTGAAATTCTTAGTGTTGACTTGAGTATACACAGAAAAGATCAGTTTTGTTGGAGGTAGCTGGAAATGTCACCATTGGAATTTAAACAGCTAATATGTTGTAAGTCATAACAGTTCTGTGTACAGATGTTGACAATACAGAATAAAATTGAAAATTCCTTTTGCTACAAGTTCCAAATCATCACAAAAGAAATGTTTGTCTCGATTAGGAAGTGCACTAAATCAGGAGTTTTCATGCTTTTTGCCCTGCAAATTAGTAAAGATTAAAAGGGTAATAAAACCATCTGATATTGATGAGATGGATGGAAATAAGATTCATTTTTATTGCTGTAAAAAAGCAACATTACAATATTTACCACCTTTACATTTTTCTCATGCAAAATTCAGTAACACCAATTCTATCAACCATACTTTATAGCCATCACTGATATCTATTGTAAAAATTTCCATCATTATACATAGAAACTCAATGCTTCTTAAACAATGGTTCACCCTTTCCCTCCTCTGTCCCTGATAACTGTTAATAAACTTGGATCTCTATACATTTGTGTATTCTACGTATTTCATATAAGTTGGATCATAAAATACATGTTTTTTGTTTTTTTTTTTTGTGACTGACTTAATTCCATTGGCATACTGTTTTCGAGGCTCATTCATGTGATAGCATGCATCAGAACTTTATTTATCTTTATGGATGAGTAATATTCCATT